CTTTCCCTATTCTTCCTCCAAAGGCACTAAAAAATGACAATAACAGTATCACTGAGCCTGTGGTGAATTGAGGGTTTGAGTTTGCCTTACTGTTTACCTGAGGAGAAAGCTTGGTTAAGATGTGTCTCCTCCTGCTACTTGTTCTTCTCTCTCTCTCTTTCCTACTGTTTATTTTATCCCATCATTAGGCTGACAACCATTGTCAGGGACATATTCTTAAATAAATCAGTAACAGAATCTGAACTGAAAAAAAATAACTGCACCACAAAATTTAAATTTATTTAGAGCACCAACCTCAAAAGACTGACACAGCAGCAGAACTGAATGGGCTGAGAATAAATGGTGAGAAGGGAGAAAAAGGAGCAGACAAGTATGAGAGGAACATCGTTGAAACAGGTGCTGTTACAGGGCTTTGTTAACTGGCTGCAGTGCCACTGTGATGCTGTGCTGTGTCTGCCACTAAAACTCCAGCTGAGAAAGCAAACGTGAAAAGCCATGCCATAATCGGGGCTTCAGAATGCTTGTAAAAGCAGAAAACACCACTCCCTCCTCTTGAGCTTGTTTTGCGGAAAGGGCTGAAGCCTGCCTCCGCCCTCTCCAGGGCATTCTCAGCGTTTTCTCACCGATTTCCAGCACGGTCCAAGGGTGAGGACCGCAGCCTTTGCAGAGTCAGCGACCCACCGCCACACCGGCAGAGGAATACCTGCCGGTCTGTCCACTGAACCTTGCCACAGAGATCTCATGCCCAGCTCTGTCTTAATTCTGTGGCTCTTCTTTGGTCTGCACTCAAAGCTCACAAGCAAGTTCGTTCTTTGTAAGGAACTTACGAATTCCAAAGAGCTTTTTAAACCACTTTTTTTAGGGTACAAATATAATGGTAAAGAGTGGGGTAGTTTTTCTATTATCACTGTGACTGTACAGCCCTCTCCTGGCAGATATCAGCAGCGTTATATGCAATAGTTATGCTAATTAGTGTAAATCAATTTGTAGGAGTTTGATCAAACTTTCCTCTGGGGTATGCTACCTGCTTGTAAAAAGAGTCTAACATTTTGCACTTATGTATACACACTGATTCATCAAAACACTTCTGAGCTCTTACTTTTAAAAGAAAAATACAAGCAAATCCCGTTAAAGTAATCAATAATAACATCAATTCATAACCGTGTCCAATTCCTACATTTCAGGTTGCTTTTGCCTATTCCATGTCAATGTTTTCCAGTTTGCCGGCTGCACCTGGCACTATTCGACACAAACGCAGGAGCACACTTTGCTAAACGAGAGGCTTACCTGAACTGCTCTTCTTTTTCCAGATCTCCGCACTGTAACTCTATTGCAAAAAAAAAAAAAAAACACGGAAGAGAAAATTCAGGTTACTGCCCGATGGGCTGCGTTCCTGCCGGAGCAGGTATGCTGCGAGCAAAACTGGCAGCGCCACCTTTTCAAAAACTCGTATGCAGTTTCCTAATATTTCGAACCCTATTCAGAGCCGAAATTACGGTGACCGGGCCACCCACAGCCTCCTCCAGCTCCAGCTGACCTGCGGGCGGTGAGGTGCCGGGAAGTTTTACCTCATCCCGAGCGCCAGGCCAGAGAACAGCACCTTTTTTTTT